TCTTCATGTTGGACACAAGAGCATCCATAGGCTTCTATTCACAGTCACACTCTCTACCCCTCCATAGCCAGTGAAAACAGACAATCCATGGAACAGCAGTCCAAACTTTGATCTTCAGAGCTGGGAAGTAAGAGTGCTGATTCTGCTATTTTTGTTCCCTCAAAGGCCTTCAAGCAAACTCTCAGTTTGAGATCAAATGACCCGTGTCTCCAAAAGAAATCCTGGAACAGGGAAATTATAAGGATACAGGTGTTCTTGAATAGTATAGCGTCCCTTTTGTTTTCTGGAAAATAGTCTCAGTAAGAGTTAAAACGACCTCCTAACATGATCATGTTGAAATGGTGACAGAAACAGAACCCCTGCAGAGCATGGTGCCTGTCTCTCACATCACAGCATCCTTTAAAATTGCAATATTCAGTTAACATTTGCTGAATGCATTTTTGTGCTTGTTTCATGAACCCATAATGGCTCCTAACTAAAAAGTATCATATATCATACATTAACTTTGATTTTCAAGCCAAAATTATTATGTATAAATAAAAAAGAGCTTTGATCAATTCCTCAGGCATTTAAGCAGAGTGGTTATTAAATAAGATTCAGAGACTCTGCTCAAAGAAAAAGAAACTGGCAAGAATTAAATTGGGATACAGAGAAGATGACTCTATAAGAATGGGGTTCTCTGTGATAGCAGTAGAGAGAGTAAAGCTGCCATCAGGTGGGGTTAGGATTAAGGGGATTACAGTGTTACTAGATCAGGGTCACTAGGGGGGAGCCCTCAGGACCAATGGAGTAGGGGAAATGGAGACAGTAAGGATGAGAATAACATGATCAGAAAGAGTAGGAGACACTGGCCCAGGTGTAGTAACAGGGTTAGAGGGGGCCAGAGTTGTGAGGTCAGTAGGGATGAGGCTCACATGGAATGAGTCTCTCAGAGTCACTGAAACTGGGGAACATAGAAACATTAGAATTGGGGGTCACCACATCAGTAGATACAGGGGATTTCCAGAGTATGTTAAGCAAAAGATCCCAAGTGCAGTGGGAAAGAAGGACACAAGGCCTGTAAGAATGGAGCTGGGTGGGGTGGGAGTGGGGGGTTAATGGGTTCTAACACGTGATCAAACCACATGAATAAGATGTGAGTTCCTTAAATGAAGATGAAATTTGCACTAAGAAATTTTGAAGTAGGTTTCTGTCTATGAGAGAGAGAATATTAATCTGACAAAGTCTAGGGAATGGCTGTGTTATGGAGTAAATATTTGAATCTCCCCAAAATTCCTATGTTGAAGCCCTAACTTCACAATGTGATTTAGGGAGTGTTGGCTTGAGAGATAACTCATCATAATACGTTCAGGAGGGCAGGTCCCTCGTGATAGGATCACTGCCCTTATGAGAAGAGACTTATAAGAGAGAAATCTCTCTCTCTCCCTCACATGCATGAGCCAAGGGAAGGTCATGTACACAAACACAGCAAGAAGGCAGCCGTCTGCAAGACACGAAGGGAACCCTCACCAGGAACTGAATCAGCCAGCACCTTGATATTTGATGCTCCAGAATCAAATTCTGTGACAAATCAGTTTCTGATATCTAAGATACACAGTCCTGGTTTTTATGTTATGGCAGCCTGAGTTGACTACAGCAGGATATGTCTAAAAATTGACCCCCTTAAATTTGGCATGCTCTTCCTTTGGACTATAGGGAAAGACATGAAACATACAAAATTTTTCCCCCATTTCTCAAAATTATAATTCCCTTTAATCATTCTAACACTTCATTAAATCTGAAAAAGCCATTGAGCCCTTTGTGGTAGTGCTGTGGTGAAGGAGTGCACAAGGCAATGAAGGAAAGTGTGTACACCATCACTGATACTGTCAATGATAGTTACTAATACTGCTACCTTTGGAGTAGTGATGCCTGTTGGGCATGTAATTTAACTTCTCGGTGCTCAAGTGCCCTATCTGTAAAATAGAATAGTTCTCATGCTATTGTTGGAAAGAGTAAATGAATTGCTATATAGAAAGTATTTAGTTTAGTGCCATACACTGAATAAGTATTCTCTACGTTACTGTAATGTTACATTGCTTCTGCTAAATTCTTTATTCCTTTGCTTTTGGGTAACATTTTACTACAACCACATTGATAAATTAAATACTCTCATCTGGGCTTCACTAGCAGGAATATTCAACAAGGTCTCCTTTGGGAAATCATAGTTGAGGTCATAGTAAGTTCTAAATAAATGTGATTTTAACTAAAAGCTCAAAATGCATCTCAAGGTATTGATACCCTTTGGTACTTTATCAGTTTTTACAACTATTTCAAACACTAATCAATGAATAAAACATATATAGAAGTCAACGTCACAATTCTTTAGCAGTATGGAAGATTATATGCCTTAAGTTCAATTCCCCAGAAGCAGGCCTAAGACATAGATTCACATGCAAGTAATTTAATAGAAAACTTATCCCAGTAAAACTTAAAAAGGAGAAGCAAGAATGGGGAAGTAACATAATGTGAGGGAATAAATTAGTAGATATAAGGCAACTTTTCAGAGTTATGGAATGCCAGCTTGCAGTTGAAGTGAAGAACACAAACTTGGAAATTAGGCTGCTTGGTTTTACATAGAGCCTCCACCATTTACTAGCTGTATATCCTTGGGTGAGTTATTCAACCTGTCTCTGCTTCACTTTTCACCTCTAAAAAATGGTGCCATCTCATAGAGATGTGAGGATAATGTCAGATGATACATATGCCTGGCACAGAGTATGTGTTCCAATAATGTTAGTTGGCGGCAGTAATAGTAGTAGCAGCAGCAAGCAAAAAGGTCATGTTAATAGAAGAAATTCTAGGAATTATTAACATTATTATTAGTAGTACTATTGAAACATAGTTATGCCTGCTATTAGTTGAAGTAAAGTTATCCTCAACTATAAACTCCGAAGAAGAGGGTCCAAGTCTTGTTCATCTCCATATGCTCATTATCTAGTACCCCAGTGTACATCATGAATAATTGTTGTTGTTAAATACAGTTGATAGGACAAGTTTACTAAATACTAGAGGTAGAAGTGGTAACACTTGGGAGGAAAAGAAAGAAATAAAAAATGGTTCTGATATTTCAAACAGATAATACAGCTCACATTAACTAAATAGAAGTCACCAATGGCCTCTACTTTGCTGAATCGAATCATCTTAACCACCTCAATCATCTTACTTGCTGTAGCAGCATCATTTTATCACTTTCTCCTCCCTGAAGCACTTTCTTCACTTGGATTTGAGAATACAGCACTCTTGCTTTTCCTCCTACATCACTCTGCTTTACTGGGTCTTCCTGTTCTATTAGAACTCTCAATGCTAGCATACTCCAAGGGCTCAGTCTTTGGTCTTCCTTCCATATCCAGACTCTCTCTTAATGTGTCTCCAGTCCCCATGGTTTTGTTGGGGTTCAGGTAATTAACAAAAACCGAGACAAAGGGTCTTCATTTCAAAGACTTTATTCCCAAGCTCGGGGGTCCGTCTCATTGGGGAGAGAGAAAGAGAGCGGACCTCGAGTCTTGGCTAGTGGGGAAATATATAGCTTAGGCTGGATACAGAAGCAAAAAAAAGCGGTTAGTGAGTAAAAGGGAAAAAAACTT